CGACTAATTCCTCCTCAATTCCCCTTAAAAACCATGTGGTCTCCAAAAATCCTCCGGTCCCCCTCCGCGCCAGGAGATATACGATGACTGGTGCCCAGGCTTTTCTCAAGGTCGATCATTTCTTTTCTGATAGTTTACGACACAGTGATCCAGTCTAACTAGAGAGGAAGACAATTGTACAGTCTACGAGCTTGATTTTGACTCTTATCTATTCCCTACTAAGCATTTTTTAGAATGTAATTAACTTATTTTTTTGTCGTCAGTCTGATTCGGTCTTACGAGAAATCATTTAAGTCAACTCAATGGAACAGATAGAATGCGTCTCAAGTCCTTTTAAACGCAGTATTCATTTTCTTTGTTTTTAAGGTGGATACCTCGCTCTCCCCGGTGGCTGATCGCCAACAATCACCTTGACGAAGCTCACGAAGTGTTGATGAAATACGCTAAGTACAACCACGTGACCGTGGATTCGAAACACCTAAAACACTTGATTCAAGAAGTCAGAAAGACCGATGCAAGAAAGTTTGAAGATGAGAAATATGGAATTCTTGACACGGTGAAAACTCCAAAGTTACGAAAACGAACCCTGATAATGTTCTTTAACTGGTAAGAAGTTATGAAGCAGAAGACAATGGAGGGACTTTAAATCAAAAGCAGTCTGCCTAACTCCTTGTAACTAGTATAACTATACAGTGGTTATGTGAATACAAAACGTATTTTGACAACTGTTGCTGTTAAAGCTACAAAATGTGACTTAATTTCGTAAGACTACAGTCGTTGTTTCTTCCAAGTAAATATTCCCGTGTTAAAATGATTGAGATATGGGTGAATACCCTGCCCGAGCATTTTTACGGTGTAAACAATGGTTTTTTTTTTTGCATGTCATTCATGAATGTGACTCTTTGTCTTGTAGGTGCGCAAACGCGCTGGTTTTCTATGGCCTCAACTACAACATTAGGAATCTGGCTGGGAATATGTACCTGAACTTTTTTCTTCTCCTCGTGGTAGATTTTCCATCCACTGCATTATGTTGTTATTGCTTACAAAGGTACGAAAATGCCTTCCTGAATCTAAGATCACGACGTTTCGTGACTTTCCGAAGCGATGATTTATCTTCAATTGTCTTTTGATGTGTTTCTTCTGACCCAGGTTTGGTCGACGTCTAACGT